CGAGGCACGGATAAGTTTCACTAACGGCTTAGGCCCCTATTTCACACAGACCACGAATCCCACGAATCGCCAGGAATTGACAAATTTCAGGATTCGTGAGGATTCGTGAGATTTTGCCAATTTTCTGGTCTAATTCGACACGCTCACGATTCAGTTACGATACAGGTGCGATAGTGTTACGAATATTCGTGGGATTCGGCTGGAATCGCACGAATATTGTCCAGAAATTCACTACGATTATTTGGAATCGTGAGTTCGTGGCCAAAACTTTGAACAGCTCAAAATTTTTGCCACGAATTCCCGATTGATCAAGAATTGCAAGAACTGACTACGATTATATACGAATCTGTTAAGAACTTCACGAACTGATTACGATTCCATCACGAATCCTGAAATTTTCAATTCCTGGCGATTCGTGGGATTCGTGGTCTGTGTGAAATAGGGGCATTACATAAAGATATTTGGTATGATGATCAGTACTCTACCTTCTTTCGACCGAAAGCGTCCCCCAGCTGTCCAAACACCAGGGAACCTATCAGCACTCCAGCCATCTGGAGGGACGATATAGTGTCACTGATAAAGTCTCGGTTGCAGATTAAATCCCACTGGAACGATGCAATTAATTCATTTTTCATTATTATAATGTCATGTACGTACTGCAATATATGGAGAACGCTTATCCCTTCGGGTTTATGAGACACTTTATGAGCTGCTGTGTATAGTTTTGTCTTATAACTTATATTGTGGTTATAAGTTTTGCGACTTGTCTTAAATGTGTGTCTTAAATATACTCCAGGAGACAGTGACGCCAATATTGAAAGACATTTTGTCATTATTGTAAAGTTCATATCTTTTATCGTTAAAATTTTCGTCTTCAATTTCACGTATACAGATTCCACAGATTTTATCATTAAACGTAAAATATGTCGTGGGTATACGGACTTGAAAGTGTCCTTTTTGTAATTTAAAATATTTCTCATGGGTTTTTTATTTTGTTTTCAGTATCAAAATTTTATTGGCTCAGAAATTAAGTACCTCTCCACAATAAAAATGGAAATTTATTTATAATTTGTTTCACAATCTTATCGTTTTGAATCTCAATCAGATCGTTCCATTATCTTTAGCCATCGACTACATTTCATCGGGTTCCTGCCTGATTCAATTTACAGATTTTACTTTGAATTTCATGGACGATCCAATAGGTACGACCTTACAGCTTTACACACATTTTTATTTGCAACGACCACAGAAACTGGAAACACCAGATCCACACTTTAGTATTGGAGCTCAGGGGCGAATCCAGGATTATGTGAAGGGGGGGGGGCGTTAATGCGATGCCGATGTGGGGTTCGGGGCCCACTAAAGGCCCCCAAATTTTTGGTATATTAAAGGGCGACCGGTGCCATTCGGTACGGTTTAGAACTATGATTCAGCTATTTAAATTTCTAATTTCAAGAGGGGAATATTAGTGTGATTTTTTTCAGAAATCGGAGGGAGGTGGGGGGGGGGGGGGGGGTCGGCCCCCCTGACCCCCCTAAATCCGCCACTGGAGCTACACAACAAACACTTGCGAAATCCCGTATGACCATGCAACCATTTGGATTTCAGTATGATTAAAGCAAGTGCTCTTATAGCAGACTGACATATTTACAACTTTATTGAAAACATATTAAAAATTATTAGGATAAATACCAAGTTGTATAAGTCTGTTTACCCCCTTTTAGTCGATGTCCCCCAAATATTTTAAATCTACACTAAGTTGCTTAGGTCTAGCCCCTTAATGTACACACTTCATTTTTTGTGTTTAATGAACATCCATCATTTACTGCACTGATGATTGTCGGTTATAGTTTTCGGTGCTGTCAGCCATTAGTACGAGACCATCAGCATAAGATTCTATATTTATAAAAGAACCTAAGTCAGAGTTACTTTTTGGCCCTTCATTGTCATACATGAACAAGCAGTAGTACATGATCTGAACAGATATTATTCGAATGTTCTAAAATTAATCACTTATAAGTTATATTTACTTAAAAGATTGGAAATGTGTGACATCGAAACCACCTATATGCGAACCAAGGAAGACCTGTTTATATTAAAATTTCGTGTTAAATCACATATACACATATTGGCATTATAAGAGGACTAGTCGGATATTGTTTATAAATAAAGTACGTACAGGGGTAAAGGTTATTTGTCTAGACAACATATCATGTACTTGTACTACTGTAATTCAAAATGGTAAAAACATTTACAAGCTTTAAAAAGTATTTTAAACAATAGGGGCCCATAGAAAGAAAGCATGTTAGACGCCGAACCATATAATGCATATCTGTGATGCAGGCTGTAAAACGAGTATCTGAACTCAGGCAAAAATGATAAGCATACATTTTATCTTACCGCATTGAAATATACGTAAAAGTTATCGTAAAAATACTCTGAGAACCTACATTTAAAATGTTGCAAGATAACCACACTATTGACAGAGGCAAGTCATGAAGACAATTGCAGAGTTTAGTGCCCGAAATAACAATAATCCAAAAATCGCAAACATGAAGGCTTCTATTAACACACACATACCTACCTCTGTTACAATGGATGTAAAATCAGTTTTAAAAGTATGGCCAGGACAGGGAAGACCATCCTCCATGCACTTGCTTGTTTCCACCACTTCCTCCCCTTGGTTACTGCTATTGTATAGCAATGGTACAGAAATTGTTTCAGTTACATTATACACAGTCAAGTTATCATTCAAAGTCTGGTTCTCATACTGATTTGTGCACTTCCAACCTGGGTCAGCTCCGACGAAGACTAGGGCTAACATAGAAAGTCCCCCGACGAACTGAAATCCTAGTGATATGGTGAATACTATTGCAAATTGGTACCAGCCTATCTGACCTTGAAAAAATAAAGAAACATATTTAAAAAGCAGTTGGAATAGTGATGTTTTAATAGAGATGGTTGTACCTTGCAATAGAATGAATTACTTTTATAATGTTTTAAAACCTAAGAATATTTAGGCTAATTATGCAGAAATATGTATTTGCACACTGTTCTTATCCATATTCCGACGCAGCAACATTGCAACCTTATTCTTTGGACCCACACGTTTAAATATCCTTGAGACATCAAATATAATTTTTTTTTCAAATTATTTTTTCGCCAATTTACGAATACTTGTTCAACCAGGACGTTTAGTATAATATCGTCTTCATTGAAATTACTCATAAAGGAAATACGGATGACATCCACATTCTTAATTAGTTAAATGAAGTAGCTTTGGAAGATATACAGACATGAAAATATAACTTTGTCACATTTTCAAATACATAAAAGTATACATTAAAATTTCTTCAATCAGATTATCTGAATATGCAGAAGGTATCGTACAGTTTTTCCCTGGCAATTTACAAAAAATGCGATACTAGGGTACATGAGCGTGTACATTGTTCACAAACTGCCTGATATCTTTTACCCAACACCTCTAGGGACTTACCTACTTCCAGAAGGATATCTTCAAACGGAGGCATGATGTACTTCAAAAAAGTTGGCTATTAGCACCAGTCAAAACAGATATTCAACACTCGGCACCCGTCTGCGACACACGGGACAGTACAGTTGAAAACAAACGGAATAAGACTGGGAACAATAATGATAATAAGGTGTCAAGAAAAAGGTGAAAATTTGATCCACGTCAGCAGCTGATATCATTCGATATTCGTGTGTACGCTTATGTAAGTATTATCATGCAAAAAAAATAATTGAAAAAAGCCAAAGTTATGCAAATATTTTACAAAACATACGCCTTTGAAAGAATAGACAAGTTATTATTGAAAACTGTGCCTCTGAACAGACTTTACATATAAACAAAAACTTTATCACATCCAACATAAAATGATATGAAATTAATGAATCTTACCTACAGCGTGAATCGAGGTCGTAGTATGAATATATACGCAGGATGTGTTATGATTATAATAAGCAGTATAAACGTGGCCTAGACCCTGCCGAAAAGTCACTGAAAAAGTATAAACCTGGATTTGTCCACCGCTCTTAATACGATTGTGCCACTACTGGTAGAACTTGGGCTATAGAAGCATGAGCTTTAGCTCAAGGCATCATCTGTGATATCCAAATGTTAGGTTGACGGCTGTGCGTGACATTATTCAAGATCAGAAATTGTGCGAGGATCTGCGTGAAGCGGTTCTAATTTTCAAGCGATGGAGTTGAAACGTTGTGAGTGAAATATCTCGTTTATTAAAATGTACTTGTAAACTGACACGCAAATCACGATGAATTAGTGCACAAGGGTGTGACTGGTCATAATTTTTCACTGCCAAGTGACATTTTCCAGCAAAATAGTCAAATACGGGACACGTGTAAAGGTTGATAATCGTTTTGATTGTGTGAGTAGTAGTTACATCGCAGCAGCTGTATGGTATGCGTTTTCTCTATTCCAACACAATCTTGAGGAACAATGGCAAGGGAGCAAGACCCCTTTCTATTCTTATTCTACAAACCAAAGCAACTCATCACTAAAGAACAAAGTTTATAACCAGCGTCCAGTCTCTGACAGTAAGCTCTACCAAAGGACCCTTTGTTGGCATTCTGCTCCTGGTAGTGGCCATCATTGCATTGTTTGTACTGGTTGAGAAGCCAGCGTACCAAAGTTTTGCCGTGAACTTAATATATTTTTATTTGTGTGTAATATTGCCATACGTGGAGTTATTTGGATACAAGTACTAGTAAATTTATACTCTATACTCTAGGAATATGCTTTCAAGAGAATACTACTATTATTTTACATGAATATAGCCGCCAACTTTCCAACTTTTATTGACAAGGTGCATAAATAAGTGAGTGAAAATGATATTTAAATTTGAATTTTATTTTTTTTTATTTAATGTTTGTTTAAAAATGCCAATTACTGAATATTTTCAAAAATATTTGTTTTCCGTATCCCTCAAAGCTCACTAATGAATAAAAGACAAATGCCCTCAAAAGAGTTATCCTATTTATTTTTTTTAAAACAGTTATTGGATAAATATTGAACAGGTACTGCCGCAGTTACTCAAATTTGCCATCGTAGCGATTTTACTGCAAGTTCTATTAATGTCCCCAGTGTACAAATTAGAGCAGTCATTTTTCAAATATCAATGGAATAGATAATTGTGTAGACGTTTAACATATTTGCTATAGTTTTTAAGCAAAACTACTTATTGCAGACGTCGTGGTATATTAACAGCCCTGATGTAAATAGCCAAAATTACTTAATTCGTATTTGCAAGTGCTGTTGATATTTTAAAAGTCCCAACCCGCAGTTTTCACTAAAAAGTGATTCTTAAAAAATGTCAATCAAATTGTATATATGTAAATAGCAAAGTTATGTTGATCTATATTTTATCCGTAAAACGTGCCCCTTCGTCCATTTGAAGCATAAGATCTTGTAAAGGAACGTCAGTGTTCTTAGTCCTGCCATAAGATATCTCTTTCCTTTTGGCCCAACAGAAACACCAGGATCTCGGTGGCACGCTATCTTCTAGCGCTTTATGTCTTGTTTCAGGCAAGAACCATGTAACCAAGCCGGCTGCCAAGGCGAAACAAACGCCAATGACGTAAGGTATCCCCACCCAGAACTTAGTCTGAAGCAAAACAAGACAAAACGATAAAACACTAATTCACTAGAGGTTAGTTTCCCTGTCTTTTATTTACACGACATCTCTCTCAAAAAAGTAACACATTAAAAACTACAGAAAATATGCATTTAAGGGATAATGATTACCTGTAAATTGTGGTTCCAAATGCCCAAATATACCTTTGACGTCGCATATACCCCCTACCGCTGGTCGAGCACCAGTAAAGAGTTATAGAAATACGGTACCGATGGGCCACCATTTAAGTTATTTGTATGCAACTTACTACGTACGCCATCTGAGGAGCAATGATACCGCCTATTCGAGCTGACATGGAGGCAAACCCTAGACCTTGATTCCTGGAAATAAGTACATAAGTACAACTGTTATTTTGTTGTTCTTGGAGAATCAATATGATCCTTCTTGGATACACATTTTGTTCGTTTAAGAATGTTATTAAAACGAAGAAAAGATGAATTTGATCTTTTCTGAACTGTTAAACTATGGTGATTTCATTCTTAAAATCGACCAATGGTTATACATGTTCACCTCCACACGATGTTCGTAAAACTGGATTCAAACTATTGATAAAGATAAAACGACAGAAATTAGTTACAATTTTTATATCCCAAGCCTGGTGTTGATTCTATTCAGGTTTAAAAAACAAATACTTTATGAAAGAAGACATTAACCCTGCTTACATTACCTTATGGGCGTTGGATAGCATTCCGAGGTTAAAATAAACATGGCATTCCAACCTATCTCTATACTGGTTAGGGCTATATTAGTTATCACTGAGACTACCACCCACAACTCCGTGTACCACCCAACAGCTACCAGGACAATGAGAGGAATCATTAAAACTGCCGTTACAAGCAGACAAACACCCGCTATTCTTCTGCGACCAATACTGGAAATTCAAAGTATTGTAGGTGAAAACGTGCCACCCTTTGCCACCATGCTTATATATGAGGTATTATGTAAGCAGAGGAATGTAGTGAAAGAGTATATGAAACTGTTTTCTCTACTCTAATTCTCTAATGGCATTTTTAAAATGCGTTTTATCAAGTAGACACGTTTTTCGTCGTTATTTGCATATGTCATTAATGGACTGATTTAAAGTTATATCCAGGATTGTTTGGCTCAAAGTATCTAACAGCAATGACTGAAATTCTGTTTAAAGACGCTTTTACTTACCATCTAGTTAAAATGAGCATGAGGAGCGCAACAATGAATCCTAGACCGACGTTTATGCCTACGTGGACGTATTTGCTGCCTGGCAAGTTCTTCAAATTGAACAATAACCCATAGCTTAAAAGGCTTTCTGTAAACCTGAAAGCCATTAATAAATAATTGAAAGGCCAAAACCTCATTAAATTTTGTCAAAGATAAGTAAGCGAATGAAGTTAATTTGTCGTTACTGAAAAAGCCATGAATATTTAAATAGAATGTTACACCTTTTTCGCGTTTGTTATATATTGTACATTACCGAGGCATGTAAAATAACATTAATTGCGGCTGATAATACAAATTAAACTAACCAAATAAACATGATCATAGTTGTAGTTCTTGTGAGAGTCGGGGTCCGGAAAAGATCCCAAAATCTGTACCGTCTGTTGCGTTGTGCTAAATGCATTTCTTCCTGAAATCATTCAAACTTCATATATTCTCAACTTCTTCTATTTCATACATTGACTATACTACATATTGATTCTAAAAGAAAAAAAATTCTTAAACATTTATACAACTGCATACGTACTTATTTTGTCGTACTGCATTTTAAACATTTATTTGCTCTATTCAAAAACTTTATATATGTAAAATATGTTACTTAAAATGCAGGAGGTTTCCATAATTAGGAGATTTGTTGTTTACGAAATTAAATTTTGCCCTTTGCACAACTAAAGACACTAAAATACGTTAACATTTGATATTATTGACAACGTTACACGAACGTTACTAAAGGAAAACTAACTTCACATTGTTGAACAAAAGCATCCATATCTGGCAAAGGTTTGTTGTTGCCTTTTGCTATTCTTTTGGCAATAGTGACAACCTCGTCATATCGACCCTGCGACAGCAGCCACCTAGGACTCTCCGGAAGAAACCTGGAAAAGGAACACAATTACTTAAATATTGTAATACACCATAACATATGAAGTTATTTAGGAGGGTGTCCAACTGACTATTTTAAGCCAATAATTGAAATTATGATAATCATGTTGAGTCTCAGAGGCTACTGGGAGGTGACCACTAAAATAATCAGCATATCATTGTCATTTCAAGAATCCGGTGACGCTTGCACCCTCTGATCACAGGGGTCGCTAATAGTCTGCTGCAAAATTGTTTCAATTTTGTAACAGGCTTTTCTATGGACCCCTGTGATATCAGAGGGTGAAAAGCTTGTGGATAACATAGCTGGGTTTTAAGTGGACCCTGAAACTCAGGGTCATTAAAACAGGTACACGTCATGTTAAATGATGTTTTTAACTTACCACCAAGCGATGATGATTGAGACTCCTGGTAAAGTAGTGCTTAGCAAAAATGTACGCCATTCTCGGATGAAGTAGCCAAACAGCAGTAGTATCAGTAATCCAAAAAACCACAGCCCCAACGCAGTTGTAACAGGGCGATACTTAGGGCCGAGGAATTCAACACTCCAAACGTAGCCGACAACAATACAACCTGCACCAGAACGACAGAAAAAATGCAACGATGGAAGATGTTATGCAAAATCTCCATTATGGTTTAAAAGAAAGAAAGATTAAATAATTTTCAGTAGATTTTAATGAAGTGTGAATAAAACCTCGAATACACGCTCGATGAAAAGCAGTAATACATATAATTATATATATAAAGCATTTTAAAGTGCTCAACTCATTATACAGCATTTAAAATCGCAAGGCATACTAAAACCCTTTCTATGAGTTTCAAATAAATCGACTTTTCAAAAAAAATTTCAAAGAAATCGACATCCTGTTGATCAGACATACCCATAGGAAATGTCCATGAAACTCAGAGTTGCGGATTTTCAAATTACACATGCGTGTGTGTGTGTTTGTGTGTGTGTGTTCCGCAATCTTATCTAGGTTGGAATATGCATCCTGACGCACTTTGTCATGTCATATGGTTGATAATAGCCATTATAATTTTACCTCCAATCCCCGTTCCACTAAGGAAGCGTAGTATAGCAAACTGTACCCAGTCATTAGTAAAAGCTTGCGCTGCTCCTACTATGCTGGTGAACGGCAAGGCAAAAAAGTACACCTACAAAAATTGTGGTCAAGTTCTTAAAAAAGGTTAAGCTCTCTGTGATTTTTGTTATCATTTTAGACAGGTATCAAACTTTTAGCACATGTTTATATTTTTATCCAAATGCCAAAAGGGCAGGAAAAATCTTACAAGCATAGAAAATATTCTACTCAGAAACTGAAATACCATAACAAATTGATTTTCTAAACTGAAAATAAAATTTCAATAGCAACAAGACAAGAATGTGTTTGGTTAACGGCTTACATAGAGGTATTTGGTTCGATGATCGGCGATTTACCTTCTTTCGACCGAAAGCGTCCCCCAACTGTCCAAACACCAGAGAACCTATCAGTACTCCGGCCATCTGGAGGGACGATATAGTGTCACTGATAAAGTCTCGGTTGCAGATTAAATCCCACTGGAACGATACAATTAACTCATTTTTCATTATCATAATGTCATATACATGGTACAATACATGGGGAACCCTTATCCCTTTGGGTGTATAAGACACTTAATGAGCTGTTCAATATATCCTGAAGTCTCATAACACATTCTACCCCCTGCCAAATTAAGTGTCCCCTACTGCATTTATGTGCAGTGCTGCAAAGGTACCCACATATATTTAATTTTGCTATAACGTAACACCTATGGGACCGATCATCCCGTAAGTTAGGGAAGTGAGTATAGAACATTTACCTATACGTAGCCTAAGCATTGAAATATACATGTACTAATTATATTTGTAATATTCGTTTCCTACTGTAAATGAGAGGGGTACATTTTTGACCATGCAGTTGACAGAAGAGGGAGTTTCGACCTGCCAGAAGGTTGGGTTGTTTCATGAGAACCATTTCTAAGGGTAAGACAACAATATAACCAAACAGGTACATGGGCAAGATTGCTTGGGTAAGGCCATCCAAAGAAATTCAAACCCAGAGAAGAGTCAATGTTAGCACGCCTTTCTCGTAGAGAATGTTTCATGCCATTAAAGAACTTGACTGAAAAAAAGTCACCAGAATAAGGCAAGGCATGTTTTTGAGTTTTCCTACAGGATACGTCTGTACCTTCACCGTTATTTTTGCAGGGTTGCTGTAAAGAGATCAGTGATCGCCGCCAGGAACCGTCTACGTCGAGTCAGATAGTGTACCAGAATACTAGGGCCTGGGCACCAGCCAACAACTAAGCAGTGATACGTGCTGTTCTTCAATGAAAGCAGGTTCAGCGTTTTCAGAAGTGTTGGCGCGTAAGGGTTTGGAGATCAGCTGGTTAGAAGTATCTTCCGAATTTTTTGCCTATCGGTCATAATATGGCGTTTATTGGCTACTACGGTGTAGGCGGGATGGTAAACGGGAACACTAACAGAGCAATGCATCCAAGTACATGTACTCGAGAAACTCAAGGAATTCTTTCGAAAATATCTTTGGGAGCGTGACTTCTCATTTATTATTCAGCATGATAATCCTACAGGCTAGTCATATTAGAACCAGGCCCAGAACCCTCCCATGGCCATTGCAATTCCTAGATCAAAGACTTCATAGAAAATATACTACATATCTGAGGAAGTGGATAACTGAGGGATGATCCTGCAACAAAATTCTACTAACTTATCTTCGAATAATGACAGGTATTATTCAAAGATTCTAAAATAATTTCCTTATAGGTGTTCGTTACTTAGATGATTGGAAATATGTTACAACGAAAGTCACATACACGCCAAGCAAGGAACGCTATTTATGTTAAAATACCATGCTAAATTACGATACAAATATTGGCATCATAAGACTTGTTGGAAATTGTTTATCAGTATGTAAAGAGGAACTGTCTTGGCAACATATCATATAATGTAACTGTGAATCGTCATTGCATAAACATTGAAAAGCATTATGTAAATAATTGCAAAGCATAGGGGTCTACAGACATANACTATTTATGTTAAAATACCATGATAAATTACGACACAAATATTGGCATCATAAGACTTGTTGGAAATTGTTTATCAGTATGTAAAGAGGAGCTGTCTTGGCAACATATCATATAATGTAACTGTGAATCGTCATTGCATAAACATTGAAAAGCATTATGTAAATAATTGCAAAGCATAGGGGTCCACAGACATAAAGCGTGTTAGACACCGATATATGAATGTCTGTAATACAGGCTATTCAACAAGCGGCTGAGCTCAAGTAAAATTAAGCATAGATTAATTTCTATTTACCCGAGTTGAAATATTCACCATAAGCATAGATATCGTTAAGCCACTCTCATAACGTTCATTTTAAAAGTTATAAGAATAAGATATAACACTCACATTTTAGAGAGAGGCAAGACATGAAAACTATTGCAGAGGTTAGCAGGTACACGAAATAACACACAAATACAACACACGCAAGCGTAAAACGCGGCAGTGCGAAAGGCCTGTTATAACACACATTCCTACCTCTGTTACAATGGATGTAAAATCAGTGTTGAAGGTATGGCCATTACAGGGAAGACCACTCTTCGTGCACTTGTTTATTTCCACCAATTCATCCCCTTGGGTACTGCTATTGTACAGCAGTGGCACAGAAATTATCTCAGCTACATTATACACAGTTAAGCTATCATTCATTTTTGAAGTCTGGTTCTCATACTGATTTATGCACTTCCAACCCGGGTCAGCTCCGACGAAGACTAGGGCTAACATGGAAAATACCCCGACGAACTGCCATCCTAGAGCTATGGTAAATACTAACGCAAATTGGTACCAGCCTATCTGACCTAGAAGAAAGAAATAAAGTAACTTTTTTAAAAGGCAGTTGAAATACTGGCATTTTATTTGGCATAAATGGACCTTGTAATAGAGCGAATTACTAAATATTAAATCATAAATGTTTAGGTTATTCAGAAACATGCATTTGCATACTGTTTTTATTCCGTATTCCGTCGCAGCAACAGTGCAACCTAATTCTTTTAGATATCCTTTAGACATTAGTTATTATTTTCTTTAAAAACATTTCACCTAGTCGCGGAAAATCTTTTAACCTGAAAGACGTTTTGTGCCGTCTTCATTTAAATTTATTGGTTTTAATTGAGTCATGAATAATTTATATCACCAGTCTCTAAGTGGCATATTAGAAAGAAATATCGACAACGTGCGCTTTTATATAAGGAAAGTACGTACGTAACTAATGAAAGTTAAATAGCTTTGGAGAATATTCAGACATAAAAATATGCCTTTGTCACATGTTTGAACGCATGTTGTACACGTTAAATTGTCTTTCATTCAGATTATCTGAATATGCAGAAGATACTGCCTAATTAATCCCTGGTGGCAATTTCCAAGGAGTCCAATACTAGGGTACATACATATTGTTTCCAAGCTGCCTGATATTTTTATCCAACACCCCTAGGTACTTACCAACTTTCAGCAAGATATCTTCAAACGGAGGCATGTTGTACTCTGAGTTAGTGCACAAGTAAAAACGGATCTCCAGTGCTGTGAACCATACGACAATCAAAACGTGACATATTCCAGAACTTGAGTTACGTCAGCAAAGCACACAATAAAGTGGTGTTTGTAAAAACGCAATTTATCACTTTCGGCATTGACAGAGCATTTCTGGAAGACCCAGAAGACGGCCTCAATCCGCCGCTGATTGGCTTGGTTATTAGTCAATACACATATCAAAATCAGAGAATATTCATGTAAACATCTTTTCTATGGTTATAAAGGATGTTTATCAATTCCAAGCTGCATTTTGTAGCAAAATAGTCCAATACGGGACACATGTAAACGCTATGATTGTGCTGGCAGTAGCTGTATTAGAAAAATAATTAAAACACAACTGGCGGCACCCTTATAGTGGTAACTGGAACTCTTTAGCTTTTGGAGTCCTCTTTGTTGACAATATCTGTCTTGAATGGTAGTGATGAAGAGAGCTCGCCTGGCCGGAAACTTGTTTCTTAGTGTGTAATATTACCACTATCAAAGCAATACTGTTATAGTGAGGAATGACGACAGCAGTTTGGAGCTTTCGAACGTTTATTCACCGACTCTTGCTTCATACAACTTCACAAATATTTATACTCAATTTCTCCGTACTGATCACGCATTTACTTGTTTTCTTTTTCATTGTCTTTGAGTGATTACAAAATATTTTCCATTCGCATGTTGCAAGTCACTATGCAACATTTCCTTATTTGGTAATCCATAAGAGACTTGTTTTCAATAAAAGATATCTAAAATATTATTTGGATTACTCATATTTGGACCTTATCCAAAACTCAGTTATCATGTGATAAATAGATGATCAAAATTATTATATGTTATGAAATTAACCAATCACATTAACTGTTACTGACTTTGACCTTTCCCATCTTTTTCTGACACTAAAAACATGTTCTACACTTGTTGACTCTTGGAGAAACTTAACTTACACTCAATAACTATCTGTCCTTTTACTCTTTTGATTCCGCTTTAATTGTTATCCGTAATTAGTGAAAGTGTAAGTAATATGCTTTACAACATACACCCCTTCTTCAAAAGAATTCGTCCTCGAATTCTAAAACTTTACAACATACGCTCCTTTTTCATTTTTTCTAAAGCAAAGCAAATACTAAATAACATAAAATACATAAATTTTCAAAAAAATTAAATGATAAGGTCACATATGTCATCAATTAAAATGTTATACGCAAGTTCATCAATTTCTGCAAAATTAAATAAAACAATAAAATTAATGATAACCTTCTTTAAACAGTCCATGTCTATCATAAAGTCAAGCAAAAATATAACTAAGAAAAGTAATTCTATATAAGTTACTTATACTTAAAATTAAAAACACATTCGACATGAAACAAACAATATTACCTGAAGGAAGATAATGTAATAACTTTTTAAGAAAATGCAATTCTTCGTGGATATAGTTCGTATTATCATTTACACTATTTAATGTGTAGCCCAAGAGCAAAGATACTTTTTACCAGTTTTCTCATGAGGATATCGAAATATTTTGCTCTCTTATTATGGCTCTGACACACCATATTATACAGTTTTCTCTTTCGGTTGTCATTTAAGACATAGTAGGAATGCACTACGTTAGACAATAGGGTTGATCACTCCCTGTCCAATGAACAGCACTCACCACAACGTTGCGACCAGAGAAATCACTCATGATGAAGTACATATTCATCTTCATATTTGTCCACATTGTAACTATCCTCTGTGATGACTATAAGAGAAAGGCTTTGTTCATGATACTTCAATCCACGGATTTTATAAAATCATACTGATAAATAATTAAACAGCAAAATGTGAAAATCTTCCTTAATGGATATCATTAGTTTCATGCCACCATCATTACAATAAAAGTTAAATATAGTATCCATTTAACAATGATCATGGTTAACACACATTAAAATGAATATCATTATATATCATAGTATATATAGATTAAAACAAATCATAATACTTGTCAAGACTTACAACTGTCATGTTAATTGCGTGCATCTCGTACACTCTCAATAATAATAATAATCTGAAATGTCTGAAATCATTGAAGTAACAATAAGAATGAATCATAAAGTCATTAATATGTTGTGATCGTACACACACTTCTTATACCAAAAGTTCACTCGCAAAGATTAATGCGTTATGTTAATTATAGACACGTGTAGCAAGTCAAGTCAAATTCAGATTGGATTAAAATTAATTTGCACTGTAATCAAATGTTTGAACTGAATATAGAAAAGTGTACAATCATGTTTAATGCGTAAACATGTACAATATTCGTTCTTGAATAATTTTCTGGGTTTAAAAACTGTGAAAAGTGACAATGGGATTAATCGTTCCAAAATAACATTTTTGTTTATCATAATGTTTATACTTGCCAAGCCATGCCAATGTTTTGACAGATGTAGTTTGTAGATACAAATACTTAAATGAACTTGTCGCAATAATTATAGTTATTACTTCACTTTGCAATATGAATGAATCTGTGGTTCTAAGTTTCTTCAGCTTATTAATTTATTTTGTTGCGAAATTTTATAATCACTACAGTATAGTAAGCACCATATCGTTTACTTATACTTCTACTAGTAAAGCCACTACTAGTGCTAATTGCCTGACCTTGATAAACAGACCAAATTTCATCACGAGCAATAAGCTCTGTATATCCCGAATAAATATTTGAGGTGAATCATCTGTAGGAAATATTTCGTCTGCTAGAATAGCATCCGCCATACGAGTATTGGTTTGCTCTTAATTGTCTTTTGCTGTTTGAGCCATGTTTAGCAATCTCAAATGATAACATATCTTTGGCAAGAAAATGAGAAAAAATTGTGAATATAACTGAAGAATTACCCGCACGAAAACGCAGTAGATGCTCCAGCACAGTAGACTACTGCAATCATACTGCAAATATGCCTCAAATCTGCTTCGCATTGGGAGCTAATTAGCATATTTGAAACATGCTTCTATCATGCTGCTAATCTACTGCATTAATGCTCCTCCTCTGTACAACCCTATGTAATTTTTGAAGTAGAATTGCAGTAGGGTATACTGCATTTCTACTGCAAATATACTCCACACCACTACTGCTTTAATGCTTCTTTGCTACTTCGATACTACTGCATTTTCGTGCGGGAAGAGCTGATTCTGAATTTAAAGGTTCACTAAATAAACCATTGTGTTTCATGTTGAAAATATACATGGTGAATAGAAATATGCAACAAACCAAATTTAATGGATATAGCTGTGCTGTCTTAGTGTTGTTTTGGCAACTTGCCACTTGGGTGGGAAATAAAAATACATCTAAGTTCAAATTGTAAAAGCTAAAAAAAAATTTGAATTACACATTAATGACAACTACTTAAAGAGGTCGTTGTTCTAGGGCATTCCGGGGTAATATCAATGACTGACTTGTCAAAACATCTCGTCTGTATTTTATCAGGTTACTATATGTCTTCCATTATGATGTGGCGTGAACCTTGTGATAACTTGTATTACATCGTTTGGATGTAACGTTTACTCATATGAATAAGATCCATGTTCTTTGTCAAACAGTTCTTCAGAAACAAAATTGTCTACACTCAACACCGCTGAGCGTACTGATGCTGCCACAACATTACAGTGAGAATTCATAGAATCATCATTTCAAAAGGTCAATGCTCTTGGTTTTTTTTTCAGTGCACACTGCTTTAACTTAAGCCTCATTTGAGAAAATAAAGAGAGGAAATGAAATAGATAAGATAGATAGGAAAATAGTGAATCGATTCACATTTAGGGTTCAGTTAAGCTGTATCACTCTTTTGTCCAAATTATACATTTGACCTTTGTGTACTCTTTTACAACGTGTAAGTGTAATATCTTTTTATTTACCAGTGTATCGATTATCGAACTCGTCTCGAAGAGATGTGTTTCCTTTTTAATTTCTACGTTTTCTTCGTCTTCCTTGTAACGTCTTATTGATATGATAATCTCTTTTTAATGCATCTGAAATATTTTCTTCAGGTTCCCAGGAAGTGTTCTTATAACCCTTCCATTTTACTTTGTAATATCTCTTTGCGTTTATATTCTTACAACATAACAATTTTTCTACTTCATAATATTCGTACGCGTCTTGCTTACTG